TCCTGCAATCACCGACTTCTATCCTCCGAAGCCAAGTGCACAGCGGTGAACATAGCTGCCAACATTTGAAAAACCATTTCCAGAGAAGCCGCATGTTAATGCCCCAGAGGGCCACAAATCACCATTTAACTGCCCGGCTCTCGTGACACACTTAGGAAAGTGGAATGCGGATTATTTTTATTCTGTGCTCCTTCACCAGACGTCCCCCTTCTTCGCTGCCCAAGTCGCGGGACCAGTGCAGCACTTTCTGCCTTGCACACGTGCGCATTTTTCATTACGGGGCCACATAAAAGAGTGCACTGTCACATGTTCTCTTACAAGAATTGGCCAAGCCAAGAGAACTGTGTGGCACGGTACGTATGCCGCAACCTCTCCCTTTCAATTGTACATGGCCTGAAAGGTGGTAACCCTGGCACCCCTACATCCATCCTCATTCCGGGGGACGTTTGTGCCCTAAAATTACCCAGAATAGTCATACTCACTGTGGGATCCGCCCGCTCCGGTGGCGCTGAATCGGTTAGTGGCACTGCGGTGACTGGTGACATTTTTCTGCGGCTGGAACATGATGATGTGAAGTTTTGGGGTGAAGAGGCACCCCAGGACCACCGAGCCACTGAGACTGACCGAGACACACAGGGTGGTGGTCTGAACCTGAGAGACGGGAAGAGAAGAGCCAACAATTGAAGTGTCTAACAGTTTATTTCCCCCTTAAATTTCTTTGAGTCATACATGACATAAAATGTCAAATACAAAATATGGCCGAACGTGAGTGAGTGGACTCCTGACCATCGCGCTTCTATGAGCTTGTTTGACATCTCAATTCAAAACCATGGACATTAACATGGAGTTGATCCCCAACCCCCCCCCCGAATGCCCATTAATATGGACTTGTCTCCTTTGTGGCTTTGACACCCCCCACTTTCTGGAAAGGCTTCACACAAGATTTTGGAGGGTGTCTGTAGGAATTTTTTTTACCAATTGTGAGGTCACCTGAGAAGACCCGGCTCACAATCGACGTTCCAATTCATCCCAAAGGTGCTCAGTAGGGTTGAGGTCGGGGCTCTGTGCGGGACACTCGAGTTCCTCCACCAAGCTGGTCACACCGTGTCCTTATGGAGCTTTGTACACGGGGAACAGAAAAGGGTCTTCACCAAACTGTGACCACAAGGCTGGAAGAGCCCAATTGTCTACAATGTCTTTGTACCTTTCACTTGGAACAATGTAATTACTTGGAGGGATGTCCACAGATGTTTGGCCATATAGTGCATATTTTAATATATATGTACATACACTATATTACCAGAAGTATCGGGCCCCTCCCCCTCTCAATCATGTGACTCAGGTGTTCCGTGACATTTCCTGGCCACTAAATATTCCGCGGTCACCTGTTACTGGGATTATAACAAAGTGGAAGCAACTGGGAACAACAGCAACTCAGCCAGGAAGTGGTAGGCCGCGTCACATGACAGAGCGGGGTCAGCGCATGCTGAAGCGCACAGTGCGCAGAAGTCGCCAACTGTCCGCAGATACAGTGTATGTATATATATATATAGAGGAGGTGTAATGGGTACTGATAGTCACAATGTAATGTTGATATATTTAGGGGGAAGTCCCCGATTCCGGCCCCTGGAATCTACCTGACAAGAGCTGGAATTTGTGTCCAGACCCTGAGGGAGCGACATGAGCGCGGTGCCCACTGTGACTCCGGGAGGAAACGCTTCGCCATCTGTGGCTGCGGGGAAGACATTTATCTCTTTCTGGCACAGCCGGCGGTCTCTGTGTTTCGGTTCTATATTTATATCTCATATTAGATAAAAGAATAATCGCTGCGTTCCGCGAGCCGCGCGAGGGACAAAAATAATATCTCCATAACCCACGTAGAGGAAAACACGGAGACTGGATGTGAACTCCGCATCTGCATGGAGGTTGTTTTATAGACGTTCATCTTTCAGAATAGGAACCCTGGGGAGTGTTTAGAACAGCAGTGAATGTGACTTTCACCAAACATTCACCGGTGGTAAATCAACTATTGTCATTGAAAAAAACATGAACGTGGAAGATTCTCCTTTACTAAATGTTTGGTGAATGTCTGATTCACTCATTTCTCATAATGCGACATTCCATTAATACCATAGAAAAGCTCCATGTGGATTATAAACTTTGTGGGGATTTTCATGAATTTAGTGTATCTTACAAGCACTGCTTCCTCCTCCGTTATCTATCAACACACGCACTGTCACCTTATATACAGCTTACTGATCCAGCACTGCTTCCTCCTTTATATGACAAGACACACACTGTCACCTTATATACAAATCACTGACCCAGCACTGCTTCCTCCTCCCCCACCTGACAAAACACCCACTGTCACCTTATATACAGATCACTGACCCAGCACTGCTTCCTCCTCCTCTATCTGACAACACACACACTGTCACCTTATATACAGATCACTGATCCAGCACTGCTTCCTCCTCCATTATATGACAAGACACACACTGTCACCTTATATACAGATCACTGACCCAGCACTGCTTCCTCCTCCATTATATGACAAGACACACACTGTCACCTTATATACAGATCACTGATCCAGCACTGCTTCCTCCTCCTCTATCTGACAAGACCCTCACTGTCATGGTGGCTCATATATATTTTTCCTATTCTCTTCTTCCTATCCCTCTAGATTATGTGTCTTCGGCCGGGGCTCCCAGCCTTGCCTTGTCTTGTTTCTGTTGTATAGTTTGTTATGTAGTTGTACACACTGGCTGCTCAAACGCTGGTATATATTTGTACTATTCACCATTGTTTGTAATATAATCTTATTACAGTTCCTTAGTAATAATTAGAGTAATCAGATTGGTTCCCGCAGGAGTTTGCACATGGCTCAGTGGCTCATTGGCTCATTGAGTAGACCTGACTGAATGCTGCCTCAGACTCTAGTACAGTGTAATGCGTTTTGCATGCGTCCCCCGTGATAATGCTCACCCTGTAGTCACTGGAGGTGACATAGAAGATGGGAAGGAATGCCAACCAGATGATGCAGGTGGTATACATGGTGAAACCAATGAACTTGGCCTCGTTGAAGTTCTCCGGGCACTTTCGTGTCTTGAACGCGTAGAGGGTGCAGAGAAGGACGAGCAGGACATTGTAGGACAAGCTCAAGAGCATGCTGCCATCTCCGCTGTTACACTTCAGGGTCACCACATATCTCTTATCTGGTGCCGTGTCCTTGCGGGTCCCGGCTGGCTCCAGGAGCAGCCAGATCATCGCCACCAAGAGCTGGCAGGAGATGAGGGCCAGGCAGATGCCTACCTGAGAGGCGGGGCTTATGAATCTTGGCCGCTGGACCCCGTCCCGAGCGCCGCTGAAAATGCGGGCGATGCGGTTGGTCTTGGTGAGCAGGGCCGAATAACATATAGCGAAAGATGTTCCGAGTCCAAGGCGTCGAAGGGTACAGACGATGGTGGAGGGTTTGGCAATGAATACAAAGGTCATGGCGTAGCAGAGAAGCACACCAATCAGCAGGATGTAGCAGAGTTCGCGGCCAGAGGCCTTGACGATCGGGGTGTTGTTGTTCTGTATGAACACCCAGATCACAAAGAAGGTGGAGATAAGTCCCAAGCAGGACAGGCAAACCGGGCCCAACGCCCAGGCATCGCTCCAGCGTATGTACTCCTGCGGCAACTCGAAACAGTCCTTCAGATCCTCGTTGGGCCAGTAGCCGAGGCCGCAGTCCCTGCAGGTGAACTCGTCCAGCAGGTACTCGTGCGGTTGGCACGGGATGCAGATCCAGCAGCAGACGTCTCCGGGCTGCATGCTTTTCACCTCGTTCTTCTTGCAGGGGTCGCTGCACTGGGACACAGGCACCGCGCTGCTGGCCCAAGGGATGAGGCTTGTGTTGAGTGTCAGCTCTTCAGCCCAGTAGCCGACTTTCTTGTAGTGGTAATGGCCGTCCGTGTTCTGGAAATTGAAGATATTGTAACGGCCAATTCCATCCCCAAATTTGTCGAATCTCACTGTGCTGTGGGTGTCCGGAGGAGGGAATGGAGCTGAGGGGGGGGGATACAGAGATACAAACAGTTATGGAAATGTCAATCCACTCCAAGAGAAAAATACAATGAAAGCCATTAAAGGAGAACTATGGGGTTAAGGCTTTTCCCCATAGTGCTCGGGAGGACGGGTAACGGGAGGACACAAACTAGCATCCTCCCGTCACCCTAGGCTCAGTATATATGGGGTGCTACAGCTCGCGGTATACTGAGACGCCGCAGCCGGAGCGGATCCCGACATCGATGTCGAGATCCGCCCAGCTGCGTGAGTGACAGCTGGCTCCGCCTATCTAGAGGCAGAGCCAGCTGTACCCGCCCCCTCCCCGTCCGTTCTGCCAGTCAGCGCTGGAGGATCGGAGCGGGGAGGGGGGAATCCAGCCCCTCCCCATGTCACGGCAGAGAGCCGTGACAGGATCGAGAGGTGAGCGAACGCCGGTATGTGTTCGCTCACCTCCCGATCTACTGAGCCGACCTGTGACAGTCTCATTGTCACAGGTCGGCTAGAACTATGAGGAGGAGTGGAAAGCACTCGCCTCATAGTTCTCCTTTAAATGACACCCTGAATGGGGGCTGTTCAGTGATTTACACATTTCTGCTTATTAACTATCATGGGAGGTCAGAAGGCTGTGTGAAGCTTAAGCCCTTATCTGAAATCAGATGTGCAGAGATGGTTTTATAGGCAGGGCCGGATTTACTCTCCCTGCCGGGTTCCGCAATACGCCCTCCCTGTGGAATCCGTGCCTGTTTATAGGTGAGGTGCTGCCACAGGTCATTGTACAACTGAAAAGGTATTCATGGCAGTTCCCTCACAATCTATCCTATAAGAACTCTCAACTTTATAACTCAGTGAGGGGTGTCAGGACCGGAATGAGGGGAAAGCTTGCCAATGGGAAAACAGACAGCAGTAAAAAAAAAAAACCTCCAGAGGTTCTATGCCATCTCTAGTGCATATAGGCTAAATAAAATGTTGGCTTAAGTTGGTCTTTAATGGCCTTCTTCATTACATGACAACTTACCGTCAATCTTCACATTGAGGATGTATTCACGATAGAGGCGTCGTCCATTGGGTGGGTTCATGGTAGGGCATAACTGGGTGACATTGGGGCACAGTGCCTGGTACATGTTGTGGAGTGCGTGCGCCATGGCATACACAGCGTTCACCACAAACATGATTTTGGACTCTTGCTCAAACTTCACTTCTTGCAGCGTGTGTCTTGTGCAGTCCAAGGTGTCGAGCCGGCAGTGGAACTTGTTCTCCCAGAACTCCCTGAACCAAGGATTGCGCGTGTTATTGAAGGGGTGCAAGGACTGGAAGTATTTGGGGAACTCCCACAGCGGGTACGACGCCAGTTCTATGGTGATGGCGCCTTCAGCTACTTCCTCACTACCCAGCACCACGCTCTCCAGCGCGCCCCAACCGTCGCTGGCCACCCACGTGAAGGAGACGTTGAGTTGCTGGGCCGCCGCCAGTAGCTCCCGGGCATCCTCGATCTTGGTGAACAGGACCACCACTTTGGCCGTGGGCTTCTGCTGCAGGGCCCGGATCACGCTGGTAAAGGTCTTCTTATTCATGGAGCGGCCCACCTTCTCGGAGGTGGCGATGCAAATGTTACGAGCCCGGGCCTCCTGCTCGAATGCCTCGATGCCGGTTTCACCGTAATCCCCCTCAGACGCCACCGTGGAGACGTAAGTCCAGTTGAAGAAGCGAAGGATCTCCGCCATGGCCTTGGCTTGATAGAAGTCCGGGGGAACCGTGCGTGCAAAGAAGTCGTAGCGTGACTTGTCGCTCAGCTTGGCACTGGTGGAGGCGTAACTGATCTGTGGGATCTGGAAGAGCCGCAGCAGGTTGGCCACCTGAGGGGGTAAAAGAAAGATAAAGAGTAATAAAAAAAAAGAGTAACAATGACTATTTTCTTGCAGTTTAGTTTTCTTCACACAATGATTGCATATAAAATGTCACCTTACACTCCTTAAAAGAATACACACGTGATACAGTGGCGTAACAATCGCCCAGGCGGCCGATATGGGGCCCGGAGCACAGGGGGGCGTGGCCAGATGCCGTGCGGGCCGCCTGGGTCGCTATGGCATCTTATGCTGGTGGCTTTCACTGGCGGCTGTGAGAAGAATGCGCCACTGTTTAGATCACTGACGGTGAGTTAATGAGAGCCAGCAGCGGCGGTGGAGCAGGCTGGACCCGGCAGTGGAGGAGGAGGCTGGACCCGGCAGTGGAGGAGGAGGCGGGGCCCGGTGACGGAGAAGG